TGCACCTTGATGTGCTTTCAAACTGCTAGGTTGGCAGGAGCTGGGACAGAGCAACAGGAGCTCACCCCGTTGCGGGGATTCGAACCGCCGACCTTCTGATCGGCAAGTCCTAGGCTCTGTGGTTTAACCCACAGCGCCACCCGCATCCCAGTGTCCAATGTACAGGGAAACAAGCAGCTGGCTTACATAATGTGCCTAGTTGGTTGCCTTCTTAGTCAAACTTTCTCCCTTAGAACTATTCCCCTCCCAGAGAGAGTATCCATGTGAAAAATTCTAACAGGAAAGGAAAGGAATGCCACCCAAACGATTTTCAAACACTTCCATTCACTCCAGCAATGTTGACGATGAAAGTAAAAAAAAAATGTCTGGAAAAATCAACTGTGGTAGTTTTATTAGATTAAAAGACCAAACACTTGCATGAACTGTATAATTTTTGTATTTTATTTAGCAGCTTGCAGAACATGTCACTGCAGTTTGAAACTTGGATTTGACTTGCGGGTATGAAACGGATGCCAAGGACAAATGTCCCATTTGCCTAATAGATGAGACACCTCTCTGCTAGCAAATGTGGGGCCAATTGACTATATTTTGCTTCTTAGTAATTTTTTTCAGTCGCATAAGGCTTTGATCAGTTCAGGGATCTGTGCCTTTTTAACATGATACTTTCCCCAGAAGCTGCAGTTGATTTAATTTTTTTTTTAAACAAAGCTTATTAACAGCTGGAGAATTTGGGCAACTCTTCCAAGGCAAGCATTCTCTGTGTTTTTTAAATTTATTTTCATCCCTCTGCTGTCTTCCTCTTAGGAAGAATTTGAAAACTCAATTCAGCAAAAGACAACCTGAGACTTACAGAGTATGATTCAAGACCAAACTAGACATGACACCAAATCTGCATTTTTGCATTTAACATGCATGTGTTCTTTCTTGTTTCGTTTTTTAAAACTGCAAATTTCATCAGTGGCAGAATCTGGGCCAGGTGGCTGATAGCAGGATGAGAACAGGCATGGAGAATAAATTTAACCCCTTCCTCCTCTGCTTTGGTCCTGAAGAAAATTCTTCCTCTGAAGCTAGTACAGTGGTACCTCAGGTTACAGACGCTTCAGGTTACAGACTCCGCTAACCAAGAAATAATACCTCAGGTTAAGAACTTTGCTTCAGGATGAGAACAGAAATCGCGCAGCGGCAGCAGGATGCCCCACTAGCTAAAGTGGTATCTCAGGTTAAGAACAGTTTCAGGTTAAGAACGGACCTCTGGAACGAATTAAGTTCTTAACCAGAGGTACCACTGTATTTGCATTGGTTAGGAAACTTTCCAAGTCAAAAGCCTTGGGTTGAACCCATATTTTCCAATTACAGTAGTGCCCCGCAAGATGAATGCCTTGCAAGACGGAAAACCCGCTAGACGAAAGGGTTTTCCGTTTTGGAGGTGCTTCGCAAAACGAATTTCCTATGGGCTTGCTTCACAAGACGAAAATGTCTTGCGAGTTCCTGCAGGGTTTTTTTCCTCCCCCCCCTTTTCCCCAAGCCGCTAAGTCGCTTATCAGCTGATCCGCTAAGCCGCTAAGCCGCTTAACAGCTGATCCGCTAAGCCACTTAACAGCTGATCGCTAAGCCGCTTATCAGCTGATCCGCTAAGCCACTTAACAGCTGATCGCTAAGCCGCTTATCAGCTGATCCGCTAAGCCGCTTAACAGCTGATCGCTAAGCCGCTTATCAGCTGATCCGCTAAGCCGCTTAACAGCTGATCCGCTAAGCCGCTAAGCCGCTTATCAGCTGATCCGCTAAGCCGCTAAGCCGCTTATCAGCTGATCCGCTAAGCCGCTAAGCCGCTAAGCCGCTTATCAGCTGATCCGCTAAGCCGCTTATCAGCTGATCCGCTAAGCCCGCTAAGCCGCTAATAGCGCTAAGCCGCTAAGCCGCTAATGGGCTTGCTTCGCAAGACGAAAAAAACGCAAGACGAAGAGACTCGCGGAACAGATTCTTTTCATCTTGCGAGGCACCACTGTAAAGGATCTTCCATGATAAGACTGGGAAGGAAAGTCACAGCCAGTCTGAGTACACAGTACCGAACAAGAAAGAACCAGTTACATTTATATAAGACTATTTCACATGTTGCATGCATCAAAATTCCCAGGTGCTAGAGCAAGATGTACAGTATAGCTACAAGCCAGGAAATGCCATTTGAGACTGATAACCCACAACGACGTGCTTTGATATCTGCTCTCAGTTGACTGGCAAACAGAAGAATGAAAGAGCAATGGGATTCTGCTTTCCCACTGAGATCAGCTGGTTTCTGTATCAGAGAGCCTTTTTTTCCTTTCAAAGGTAAAGTAAAGGACCCCTGACCGTTAGGTCCAGTTGCAAACGACTCTGGGATTGCGGCACTCATCTCGCTTTACAGGCCGAGGGAGCCGGCTGTGACGTTAACATACGAGAGGGCTGGAGGTGAAATAGTTAAACAAGTTACCCAATCAGAACCCAGAGGGGTGGAGTCAGAGGGACTATAAAACCAGCTCTGGGATGGGCAAAGGGAAGAGTTCGTTGGGTGTTGGGTGGTTGGTTGGAGTGGGAGTGGGAGTGAATTGGGATAGAGTCTGTGGGTAGGTTGAGTTAGTGTAGCGAAATAAGCTGAGTCAGGAACAGTTAGGAACTAGGAAGACAAGTAAATATCTGAGAGGTGGTTTAGTGAGTGAGAGCAGGTAGTGGAAGTTATAGGTCTGGATAGGCACCCCATGATTGTAATTGACCAATACTGTTTATGAAACCACATGCTTGTTAGACTGCAATAAATAAACAGAAGTTTATGTTCCAGTTTAACCCTGACTGGACTTAGTATTGTACCAGGTAGGGCCTGGGTGGTGGCAGCGAGAAATAAAGTGGTGGCACAGGGATCAATATACGATGAATCGTCCGGGGACCCTGTGTGATCGTCACACAGGCGTTTGTCCGCAGACAGCTTCTGGGTCATGTGGCCAACATAACTAAGCCACTTCTGGCGAAACCAGAGCAGCGCATGGAAATGCCATTTACCTTCCCACTGGAGCGGTACCTATTTATCTAATTGCACTTTAACATGCTTTCAAACTGCTAGGTTGGCAGGAGCAGGGACTGAACAATGGGAGCTCACCCCGTTGGGGGGATTCAAACCTCTGACCTTCTGATTGGCAAGCCCTAGGCTCTGTGGTTTAGACCACAGCACCACCTGCATCTCAACAGAATAAGGAATTAACTATGGGAGGTGGGGAAGCAAAGGCTCTTGCTTAAATAAGCATCACATATATATTTTTATCACTAACTTTTCGTGTCTTAATTCTTGCCCTCTTTAGACATTCTCCCCTGTCATAAATGTTCCTGGTTCCTTATGTCAGACTACAGTACACAAAGCATGAGCATCCGAGAAAGTAGCAATGATGTTGCTCAAAGTATAAAATCTGGCTTTCAGTGCATTCATCATGACTTCTAAGGGCAAATCTACAATGCAGTCATGGGTGAGAAATTAGCCATGGGAGAGAGAATGGACAGAGGGAAAAGGAACAGAGTGGGGAGGAAGGTGTTGAGAATTCTGTTCCACCTTAAGGAACAGACATGGGATTGTTATGTGTCACATGTCTGTTTACATTCCAGCACAGTATGCTGGGAACTTCTGTTGTGTATAGCTTTTGCTTTCACAGTTCTCTCTGAGACGACATGAGAGAGAGATGACATGTTTATTTAATAAATAAACCTGTAGTTTAATTAATAAATCTGTAGTTGTAGTATCCTTCCATAAGCCTCACGCCTATTCTGTGTGCGCAGTTCGATCTGCTGATAGTGTGCCCTGGCTGAGTAAGCCCGGGTTGCTGATTTATGTCGGAGCAGAGGTGATGGTCTTCTCACAGGGCTGCTGGAAGGAGACGGCCCAGCCGGGGCTAGCCAGCTGGCCTCCCGGACCTCTGCATGCCGACAGAAGGTTCAAGCTGTAATAGTGCCACTGTATTCTGCTCTGGTCAGACCTCACCTGGAGTACTGTGTCCAGTTCTGGGCACCACAGTTCAAGAAGGACACTGACAAACTGGAACGTGTCCAGAGGAGGGCAACCAAAATGGTCAAAGGCCTGGAAACGATGCCTTATGAGGAACGGCTAAGGGAGCTGGGCATGTTTAGCTTGGAGAAGAGGAGATTAAGGGGTGATATGATAGCCATGTTCAAATATATAAAAGGATGTCATATAGAGGAGGGAGAAAGGTTGTTTTCTGCTGCTCCAGAGAAGCGGACACGGAGCAATGGATCCAAACTACAAGAAAGAAGATTCCACCTAAACATTAGGAAGAACTTCCTGACAGTAAGAGCTGTTCGACAGTGGAATTTGCTGCCAAGGAGTGTGGTGGAGTTTCCTTCTTTGGAGGTCTTTAAGCAGAGGCTTTTCAACCATATGTCAGGAGTGCTCTGATGGTGTTTCCTGCTTGGCAGGGGGTTGGACTCGATGGCCCTTGTGGTCTCTTCCAACTCTATGATTCTATGATTCTAAGCTGACACTGAGCCCGGTCTTGGCTGGAGAGGGCGGAGTATAAATAAAATTACTACTATTATTATTATTATTATTATTATTATTACTTATTAATGCCATTGCTGCAGTGTCCATTCAATATGCAATTGCCTTTTCAATGCTAGGATACTTAACAAATGTAGAGAAAGTTACAGGTAGGTAGCCGTGTTGGTCTGCCGTAGACGAAATAAAATAAAATAATAATTAAAAAATTCCTTCCAGTAGCACCTTAGAGACCAACTAAGTTAGTTATTGGTATGAGCTTTTGTGTGCATGCACACTTCTTCAGATACCAGAATAAAGAAAGCTGTAGAGAAATAAAGAGCTGTTGTCTCTATTCAAGCCACAGGTGAATGTATTTAAATAGAAGTAATTAAGAGGGATGATGAATCATCTTCTCCCAATGAAGACAGACCTCTTGACCTGTAAAATCCCCTCCAGGATAACCATCTTCTCTGCTCTCTGCTTTTGCCAGGTGACCAGCTAAATTCTGAAGAGAAGAAGAAGAGAAAGCAGAGAAGGAACCGAACTACCTTCAACAGCAGTCAGCTCCAGGCCCTGGAGAGAGTTTTTGAGCGGACACACTATCCGGATGCCTTTGTACGAGAAGACCTTGCGCGCCGGGTCAACCTCACTGAAGCCAGGGTCCAGGTAATGAATCTAGCCTTGATTGCAACACACATGACCCAAGAGATAGCTTATCAGGGCGATAGGCTATAGGAGCCGTTGTGGTGACATAGATAAAGAACCCTCATGGGGATGCTGTTAATAACTGCAAATGTTTTGCATTTAATTTAGTACCGTATTTGAACAATCTCATATATGTGTTAAGGAGAGGATAAGGCTGTCCATTGGTACCAGCTGCAATGCCTCCACTCTTGGAAGCACTGTGTCTCCAAATACCAGTTTCTGAGAATCAGAAGAGGGAAGAGAGGATGTGGTACCCAGGTCCTACTTTGGGGCTTCCCAGAGGCATCTGATTGGCTACTGGAAGAACAAGATGCTGGACTGTGTGTGCCTGGAAAGCACAGGTCCTTGAGGCAGGGGTGTACAAAGTGGGGGGCGGAGGGGCCGGTCTGCCCCAGGTGCCACTCTGGGGGGTGACAAGGCGGCCCCTGCCTCCCCCCAGCTGTAGAGTGGCCGAGGGCACACACAGTCAGTATGGACGCCGCTCGCGTGGGTCTGTATGGTCTGCTTCTCAAACGCGACCGTACAGGATGCCGCACATGCGCAGTCCGTATGGACGTCGCACGTGCATCACCGGGTGGTTTGCCCCGGCCCTTGGTGTCCCGCCCCGGGTCCCGGAGAAGGCTCCAGGTTCCTCCCCCACTGCTGAGAGGTTTTCTGTTCCCCCTCCCCCCAGGGAAACCTGCTAGTTACCGCTGAATTGGAGAAAATGCCAGTTCACTGGAAACGCGATGGACATTTGCTCTGATTCAGCGGCAAAAAGCGGCTTTCCCCAGGGGAAGGGGAAGTGTGGACAAGCCCTGAGCTACAGATACGGCAATTTAGAAAAGAAAGGATAAAAATAATTCTAGTTTCTCTGCTCAAGGTTGCTATTGATGGTAATTTTATGGGTTTGCTTTAAAACTGGACTGTGAGGCTGGAAAGTAACATATCTGATGGATCTTATTCTTCCCAGTCTTCCTGTCTTTCTTTCTTTCTTTCTTTCTTTCTTCTTTCTTTCTTTCTTTCTTTCTTTCTTTCTTTCTTTCTCCCTCCCTCCCTCCCTCCCTCCCTCCCTCCCTCCCTCCCTCTGTCACAGATGAAAAGCCACTCTTTCAAAAGGACCCTTAACTTTGGAACTCTTTGTCTTTTTGAAAATTCTTCTTCTTCTTCTTCTTCTTCTTCTTCTTCTTCTTCTTCTTCTTCTTCTTCTTCTTCTTCTTCTTCTTCTTCTCATTATTTTCAATTTTATACATTTCAATAATTTCACAATCATTTTAGCAATTCAAAACTTGACTTCCTTCCCCCTCTTTCTGTGGTTCCTTAAATTTGTTTTTTTTAATTTTCTGCATATCCAAATTAACTTAATTTGCTCATTTATTCATCTCCTTTAAATACACACTCTTACAAAACTGCAGGTTATTACAACAATCCTGCCAATGTTCTTATCTGTTTACAGCTTATTTGTAAATATTCAATAAACCATTTCCATTGTTTTATAAAAAGTTTATTATCTCAATTTCTTACTTTTCTGGCAAGTTTCACCATTTCTGCATATTCCATAAGTTTTTGTCTCCATTCTTCTTGGCTTTGGAACTCTTTGTCAGTCAGGAATGGGCCTGAGGTAGAATCTACAGGCATGTTAAAAACGTTATGAAAATGGCTTTTTTGTTTGTTTTAATGGTTTTGAAAAAATGCATTGAATTTTCCATAGCTTGCCTTCACCACCGAGGGTCACAACTGTATATTGCAGTTTGAAACACGTTCAAAACGGTTTATTTGCAGCTGTATAGCTGAGTGAATCTGAAAGCCATCCATTTACAGTGGTACCTCGGTTTTTTAATGTCTCTGTTGACTAATATTTCGGTTTACAAATGCCATGAACCCAGAAAATTGGAAAGGAGACTTAATCCCCACAAAAACTGACTGGCAAGCGAAGATGATAGAATATTTAGAACTTGCGAAAATGACTGGGAGAATAAGAGGAAACTCAAACCAGAAAGTCAACAAAGACTGGATAATATTTAAAGAATACCTTAGAAAGTATTATGATAATGCAAATCTCCTGACAGATTTAGATTGAATCTTGAAGTATAAGGAAACCATAAAAGTAAAAATTCTTGTGATAAGTAACAGAAAAAATAATAATAATGAAGTGCGTATAGATTAATAAGGTGTAAAAAGTACAGTTAGGTGAATTGGAACTTAATGATACGTTGTTAGTGTCTATGTTTGTTTATGTGTTGTTGTTGTTGTCTATGTTATATGTAAATTGTTTTGTAATAAAGAATTGTTTAAATAATAATAAAAAAGAATTTGTATAACAATTAAGGCAACCCATTTAGGAGGGAGGTCTCATACGTAAATGGGCAAGGCTTGCAGTCCAACCAAAGTCCTCTGTGATTTTAGTGGGGCAAATCAAACAATGCTTAGATCAGTCCCACTGGAAATGGAAAGGGCTTTAGTTTGGGCTGAATTGCGCTCCAAGTCTTTGTTCTCGGGAACTGACAATCCCGATGTTTTTTCAGAGAGGTGTGTTCTTTTTGCAGCAGACTTAAATCTAACATATGAAATTCCAGAGTTGGGGGGGGGGATAGCTATTAAAGTCTAGAAGCAGCTGTGGGTTTTCTCTGCTTTAACAATCAGAAGAAACTCTGTGGAAATAGGAAAAATGCATAGAAAATTTATGCCTTTTTTTTGAGTTGAATTTACGGCATAGGCAAAGTTCTAAGCCAAGTAGGGCTGCCAAAACAAATCTTGTAGGGCCATGGACTTTGCTGAAGTTCCCATAGAGGTGCCCTATCTATTTTTAATCATAGAAACATATGCTTGCAAAGGTGAGAGCCAGGGGCCTCCCGAGACTGTCAGCTATATTTTAAAGAAAGGGGACAAAGGCTGCCTGCAGGTGTGGTCAGGCAAGCATCTCTGTGGGTTACAGGAGTTATTTCCTGTAGATTGCCACTGCAGCACGAATCCTGACCCAGCAGCCATCGTTTTATAACTGCACACCCTCCAACATTTCTCCAATGAAAATAGGGATGTCCTATTCCATGATAATAATAATACACCACTCTTTATCCGTAGATCTCAGGGCAGTTCAAAACCTAAAAATACATAAAAATTTAAAAACAATCCAATAACCCCCACCCCCTCCTAGAAACACATTTTAAACGGTATAGTATGTATATTAGAGACGTGGGTGGCGCTGTGGGTTAAACCACAGAGCCTAGGACTTGCCGATCATAAGGTTGGCGGTTCGAATCTCGCGACGGGGTGAGCTCCCGTTGCTCGGTCCCTGCTCCTGCCAACCTAGCAGTTTGAAAGCATGCCAGTGCAAGTAGATAAATAGGTACCGCTCCAGCGGGAAGGTAAATGGCATTTCCGTGTGCTGCTCTGGTTCGCCAGAAGTGGCTTAGTCATGCTGGCCACATGACCCAGAAGCTGTACACCAGCTCCCTCGGTCAATAAAGCGAGATGAGTGCTGCAACCCCAGAGTCGGCCACGACTGGACCTAATGGTCAGGGGTCCTTTAGTATGCATATTAGGGCTACTTTACAAGCGGGGAGCCACCGCATAAATGGCCCTGCTGTTGTATTGCACACGAAGAAGGGTCTCTGAGGATGATCTCAAAGTCTGGGGAGGTTCATCTGAAGTGAGGGGTCCTTGAGATATTGTGTCCCTGCACCGTTCAAGGCTTTATAATTCCTGATTGCAATTGCTTCCCAAGTCAATGCAGTGTTAACATGGACTTGAACGGATCGCAGCTGGCTTCTCATCTAGGAGATTTCAACTGAGTAGCAGTAGGTAGAAGAGGCTCTTGACATAGCTGTCAACTTACAGATTTGAAAATAAGGGGCCAGCAGCCTCGAAAATAAGGGATCAGCAGCCGAAATAAGGGATTTTCCCAGCACTAGTATGTTCAACTTCTGAGCCCCTCCTAACCAAAGGCAGAAAGCCCAGCCAGCAGCCAAATGAAGCCTCAAGTGGTGGTTCCCACAGCGCAGCAACCCGGCAAAGGGGATGCAGCAAGGAAAACCACCGTCACCTCTCCGCTGGGAAGCGCTGAGCAAAGGCGGGTCCCCAGGCAATGTGGCCGATTTGATCGGCACAAGGCATGCAAGCTCCACCCTCCAGTTGTTCTAAGACTCCTTATTGGGTGAGCAACGCAGCCAAGCAACACAGTTGGAGCCTCCCTCCTCCCTGGCCGGCAGGGAGGGAGGGAGAGGAGCTGCTTCCTTTGAAACCCGGGAAATTTAAGGGACATCATCAATAAGGGACAGCAGCGGGACACGGCCCTGGGATAAGGGACTTTCCCGCCAAATAAGGGACAGTTGACAGCTATGGCTCTTGAATGTGCTGGAGAAATGGTATACCAGTTGTCTTTGAGGAGCAGGAAAACGTTCTGGAACTGCTAGGAAATTGGGACAGGGGCCAAGAGGAACAATCCATACAGCAGTCAAAATAGCAACTGATGCACTGGGGTAAGAGCTACATTTTCCTAACTACCCTGGGCAGGGAGGATGGAGAGAGAGACAGAACCCCTCACCCATCATAGATTGATATTTTTGACTACTTCACACTTCAACCCTGTTCTGATGTTCAAAGTCTCACATGACAATGGGAGAGCAGGGAAGTCCAAGTTGTCTGGGAGCAGGTATTAGCCGTGCCTCCTTGTAGATGGAGCGTATGCCAAAAGTTAGCTACACATTGCAGCTGCTCATGTATAAAGCAGACAGGGTTGACTGTTTATCCAAGAGTCTCTTTCCTACTGCTAACCTGACAGTCAGGGGAGACTGGAGAGGCTTGAAATGGCTCACCCCTGATGCTTTTCCTGTCTCCTTCTCTTTCCAGGAAAAGCACAAGCAACTCAAGAGAACAGAAATAGGCACTTGCTTGTGGGAAGGAGTCAAGCTTTCCACAACTTGGTAGAGAAGGAGTGGTTAACTCTCAAACACAAGCAACCATATCATTGCATAGTTTCTTTAATCCTTGGGCCATGAGCTATTATTCCTTTGATTAACCAAGAGTATTTCTCCTTCGTGAAGAGTGAGACTTCAAAACACTCTAGCCTTCCCTGCTTGGGCTCATGCAGACTTCTTTTTTGCACCGTGCTTTCCAGGTCCAGGGACACGGGTGGCGCTGTGGGTTAAACCACAGAGCCTAGGACTTGCCGATCAGAAGGTTGGCGGTTCGAATCCCCGCAACGGGGTGAGCTCCCGTTGCTTGGTCCCTGCTCCTGCCCACCTAGAAGTTCGAAAGCATGTCAAAGTGCAAGTAGATAAATAGGTACCGCTCCGGCGGGAAGGTAAATGGCGTTTCCGTGTGCTGTTCTGGTTTGCCAGAAGCGGCTTAGTCATGCGACATGACCTGGAAGCTGTACGCCGGCTCCCTCGGCCAGTAAAGCAAGATGAGCGCCGCAACCCCAGAGTCGGTCACAACTGGACCTAACGGTCAGGGGTCCCTTTACCTTTATCTTTTCCAGGTCCACACTTTAAAGCTGTATGCTCATCCACACTTCCGCTTGTCCCAACACTTTCCCCCAGGGAAAATTTGCAGTTTACTGAATCAGGGGGGGAAAGGCAATTGGGTTTTCTGCAGATTGCTGCTGGTTCTGATTTAGCGGCCACAAAGCAGGGTTTCCAGGGCAAAGGCTTGGACCTGTGTCTAGACAATACGAGAGAAGCAGAAAACCCAACAAGACCTGCGGAAAAGCAGGGACAAGCTCTCTACTCAAGGTTTTTCTTTTGCCCATGAAGGTCAGCAGTTCAAATCCCCGCGATGGGGTGAGCTCCTGTTGCTTGGTCCCTGCTCCTGCCAACCTAGCAGTTCGAAAGCATGTCAGAGAGCAAGTAGATAAATAGGTACCACTCCAGCAGGAAGGTAAACGGCGTTTCCGTGTGCTGCTCTGGTTCACCAGAAGTGGCTTAGTCATGCTGGCCACATGACCTGGAAGCTGTACACTGGCTCCCTCGGCCAATAAATCGAGATGAGCACCGCAACCCCAGAGTCGGCTACGACTGGACCTAATGGTCAGGGGTCCCTTTACCTTTACCTTTTTACCACTGTAATTAGTTCTTGTTCTGCCATTATTTGCCTTTTAATTGTTGCCTTGGTCTGTTATCTCTTGCTTGTGACTAATGGGTGAAATAATTAAAATAACTGGCTGTTCAAGAAGCCCACCCATGTGGGGACAGTCCCATGTCAGGGACTGGGCAGAGGAGGAATGGTGGAGACGGCCTCCCCCAGCCTGACCCTTCCAGAGAAGAGGAAGACAGTTCAGAATTACAACAGGGGTTTGATGGAGGTCACAGATCAGGGGAAGATGAGGGGGAAAGTTGGGAGATAATGGAAGAGGAGGAGGAAGCAGAGCTGGAGCAGCTGGCTGACACTTTATCACTAGAAAGCCTTCCAGTCCCTCCATCTCCCAGAACCTGGCGAGCCTTGAAAGTAGGAGAGCAGGAGTGGCAGACGAAGATGATGTTCTATGCAGAGTTGGCTAAGCTGACTGGTAGGATCCGGAACCAAAGCGATCAGAAATTCCAAAGAGACTGGAGTAGATTTATTTGGTATTTGAATAATGATTGTAAAAATGTGAAGACACTAGCGGGATTGAATAAACCTTGCAACGAAATGTGAAAATAGTATCTTGAAGTGTAAAGAAGGTCAGGAACTTACAGTCAAAGTGCGTATACAATCTATGTGGAAATAAAAAACCAGTTGAAGGGATGGAGGGAAGTCACAAGCTCGGCGCAGCAAAAGGTGTATGAATTGTTATTGCAATGTTTGCATATTTTATGTTTTAAAAAGAAAATAATAAAAATTATATATATAAGAAATAAAAGCAGGAGATCAAAGAGCTTGGAGACAGATGACTATAAGAGGCAACTGTAGGGGTGGGGGTGCTGTTGACGAATGAGGAAGTGGGAGAAAAGGGGGGGTGGAGATTTACTCGGGACAACGTCATCAATCCAAGCGGCTGCATTCTCAAGCCTCTCTCTCTGTAGATATTGAATAAAAAGCATATGGTAAGTGTTAGGTTGTGGGTGAACATATCAGACGACACAGCGATTCCTCAAACAGCTCTTGTTTATCCACAGAACAGAACTGAACTGAAGGGTTCAGTCAGCCTGCTTATATAGAGCTCCAGTACAACGTAACTGTAACAATTTTCTAAAACTATCCAATCACTGAACGTCACTTTCGATCCCTTATTTGCATAGCTATCTACAGTATCCCCCTGCTGGCCCAGGGTGAGAACTTCAGTATATAACAGTAAGGACTTTTCCTTGTCTTATCCGTTCCTGGCAACCTGCCGTGGGGTTCGGGTCCCCCTGCCGCCTGACACTGACTGCGGTGCTGACACTGCTGTGTTTGTCCTCCTGTCTTAGGTGTGGTTTCAAAACAGACGGGCAAAGTTTCGCAGGAATGAGAGAGCCATGCTGGCCAACAAGAACGCATCCCTCCTCAAGTCCTACTCTGGGGATGTGACCGCAGTGGAGCAGCCGATTGTACCTCGACCCGCTCCAAGGCCCACCGACTATCTCTCCTGGGGGACTGCCTCTCCTTACAGGTGACCCTAACACATCCATATTACACTGCCAGTTTTTCTCTTGCCGTGTCCGGCCAGTTTCCTCTGGGGAGGAACAAAGGCCTGAGCCAAGACTCTCCACTGCCTCTCATCTATTAAGAAGAAAACTATTCGGATCTATTCTGATTTCCTTTACTCTTCTGTGAGCAAGTAGGCAATGCAGACACAGGGACACACCAAAGTTGCAATCCTATCCATGCTTGCTCACAGGAGTAAGCCCTATTTAAGACAGTTGGATTTACTTCTTGAAGTGTGAATAGGATTGCATTGTCAACCTGGTGTTCAAGCCATTCCTTCTCTCTCCAGGGAGCCCTGGGACCTGTTGTTCTTTGTATGTTCATGGGGAAGGGGGAAGATGGATCTTTGACAGACTTCTCGGCACCCTCGCCAAACTACAATTCCCAGGATTCTCTGGAGAAAGCCATGGCTAACAAACTAGCTTCAAAGCAACATATGTTTGTAGATTAGTTATATCCAGAGGGCTGGGGTGGTTGTGGTTAAAGCTGCAGGAAATGCACTTCTTCAAAACAAAGCAACCCAATACAGCTGGGGAACTAGAAAAAGATGGTATCCCAGATACCAAATCTGTTCTGTGCATGTGAAAGAATCACCCCTGAAGAAATGTGGTTCTAAGGAGCTTTGGTAGCCTTTTCTGGAAAACCAAGAAGGCAGAGACAAGATGGTGGCAGAGCTGGAGCTTCAGGTGGAACACTTGACATGATGTGCATTTGCTTAAGTAAATTGCTTTGTTTTAATCCATTCTTACTATTTGTGGATGAAATAAACACATTCCTGAGGATGAGACTTTTTCTTCAGAAAGGATCATACTTCATCATGACTCACTTTGTCTCTCACACACAGAGAAAGAGAGAGAGAACAAACAAAGAACAGGGTCGTGCAGGTTCAGTCCACACTTCAGTGCAATCTAATTCACACATCCCAAACTAACATGTGAACCGAAACCACAGCTATCCTTCAAAATTTGTACTTATCTGAATTTTGAAATGCAATCCTAGAAAACAAAAGTATACAAAATGTACAAATTAGAAGGCAGTATGCATAAAAATGCATGTATTTGGGGAAAGAATGAACAAAAACACATAATATTAGGAAATATTAGGAAGGAATCGTGAATATTGGGATAAATGTGTGCTAAACTGCCGATGGTTTGTGAGGACTTGTTAAAAATGTATATCACAAACCAGTGCAGAAATGTAAATGTTGGAAAAATGAGAAATGGAGAGAAGCCAAAATGGACAGGTTTGTTTTCAGTGAATCCCATCCGAGACAAAGTCAAGCGTCTACCATCCAGGAGAGAGTGGAAATGTGGCTAATCCTGCCTTTCACCTCAGACATTGGAGCCACCAAGGGGAGGAGGGTGAAGCTGCTAGAGATGAATAACAGGGGCTGAAAAACATTTATTCACAGATATAATCTCCTATGAGTGTTACTTTGCCATATACTAAGACACATGCTCCACATTTTATTTCTGCCCCCTCTAGAAGTAGTGGTTTGGGGAAATGGGGGGCCATCTTCTGAAAAACACCTGATCATACTTTTTTTGGGGGGGGGGATTTGGAATGCTGTTCACAGCCACTCATTTCCCCATTGCTGCTTTGGCAGCCATTTCCCGGTTTTTGTGGGATGTGATACGTAAGTAGCAGTCAAGTACAACATTCCTTGTTTTCCTAGAGTGGACATGCAGGGAAATGTTTGGTCCAGCCAGTTGAAAACTTTCTGTTTCCTCCTGGCTGGGACATACTTCCTTTGCATGTGTCCTTACCTGTCCAGGTAACAAAAGGGACAAGGTACGCAGCACCCTCTCTCTTTTTGACTTCCTCTGTCATTGAAGCAGCTCTTATCTAGAGCTGTTCTGTTGGCTTCCAGCCAACAGAGGACACTGGGATTATCCCCATATGGGATAGCTCCACATGTATATACTTTGTAACTAAGTCTGCCTTCAGGGATCCAACTGTGAAGAGAATGTGAGTAAACTACTTTTATATACTTTACACAAGATGGTGGCATGTTTATTCTTTTAAGAGGGATATAAGGGAACTTACCAGGAACCTAATAGTGAGAGGCTTACACAAGCCTGCAACCAGCTACCCACTATGCGTTTAAAAGGGGAATGTGAAGCTCTGCTAAGTAAAGGAACTTCCTAGTGCCAAGTTAGGAAGGATATTAATAAACAATATACGGTACCCTCTCTCGCCTCCCTGAACATTCCCACAATTTTCTCTGTCCTCAATTCAACCAAGCCAGTTAGGAATTTCATCCTGGGCAGGACTAGACCACATTGCCCTGTAGACGATCAGCAGAGCTGCTGTCAAAGGGTGGCATGGTTGAGTATCTGCTGGGGGCCACAGGCAAGAGCTTTCTGGACCTTTGGAGCCTGCTTGCTTGTTCACCCGCCATTTGCTCTGGCCCAGACGACAGTGGTGGCGAGAAGCAGAAGCAGGGGATCACATCACGGTCTGGCTGGCTGTTGACTCTCTAGCTCAGCCTTTCTAAATGTCTGAGTCCTACATGTTGTTGGACTGCAACTCCCATCCTCCCTAGTGAGCATGGCCACTGGCAAGGGATTATGGGAGTTGTAGTTCGTGATCATCTGGCTGCATTGAGCTAGCGAGCAATCAGTGGTAGAAGTGATGAGGAACAAGAGGAGGGGTAACCGGTGATAATGGCCATGTGGAGGTCAGCTCAGTGTGGGAAAAGCAGCTTGTAGCAGCTTGCCCAAGGGAAGTTCAAAACCTGAATCAAACACCGCCAATCAGATTGATTTATTGGTTTCATAAAATTTATATGCCACTTGATGGTAGACTACCTCAAAGCGGTTTATGAAAAAAAGATAGACCAATAAATCACTTAAAAATATTTAGCTATGTGCTGACATTGCTGAGGGTAAATGAAGCCTTTTAGAGTTCAGCCAGTAGGAGCTCACTCTAAGAATCAGTTTCTCAGTCCTTTTACAACAACCCTTGGCAAACTGCAAAGATGGGGGACACAATCTTTCATTTCAGATTAACATTCCCCCCCCAAAAAACGGCTCCTTCTTCCTTTTGGTCCCAGCATCAGTATCATATTTGTATCTGACAATCTCCTTTAATTACTGCCAAATTATAAGCAAATTCCCTGTGTCCACTGCAATGGGCAACCCATGCCAAAAGGAAGATTGTTCCCAGGCTTAGGCATTGTTGTTTTTTCCTCCCACATCACTGGCAGCCACCATTGTAGGTCATCCTTTGAAATCCTTTTTCTGATTTCTTCCACACAAAAAAAAGTCAATGGGAAAATTGCGCAAAACTTGTGGGAAACTCTCTTGGCAAAGCCCTGTACAATTGAGTGAAACATAACAAATGTGGACCGTGTGGGAAATCAAAAGCTTTTGCTTGGTACGTAATTACCTTTTTTTATTTATTTCCAGCAAGAATGGGGAAAGACAAGGCATGTGTTCCCAAAGTTGCACTGGCTGGGCCAATCACACAGAGGGCTAAATTCATTGGGTTCCACTGTCTTGCAGAAGCGAAGCAGGGCTGTTGTCAGTGCCGGAATGGGTGACTGGCTAAAGGACCACATAGATTTATTCTTGTATTCTATACTGGAGAATGACAGGATCCAAATGTTTAAAAAGACAAAGAAACCAGTTCTCCTGTACAGTGGTACCTCGCAAGACGAATGCCTCGCAAGACAAAAAACTCGCAAGACGAAAGGGTTTTTGGTTTTTTGAGCTGCTTCGCAAGACGATTTTCCCTATGGGCTTGCTTCGCAAGACGGAAACGTCTTGCAAGTTTGTTTCCTTTTTCTTAACACCGTTAATACAGTTGCAACTTGACTTCGAGGAGCAACTCATAGAACGCGGTGTGGTAGCCTTTTTTGAGGTTTTTAAAGACTTTGGTGATTTTTGAAGCTTTTCCAAAACTTTCCCGACACCGTGCTTTGCAAGGCGAAAAAAATCGCAAGACGACAAAACTCGCGGAACGAATTAATTTCGTCTTGCAAGGCACCACTGTACCAGCCTCTTTGAAATATATGGTTTATTTTGAGGGCATTGTAAACTTAATGACTACTCCTCTTCAAAGAAGTACCCTGAACCCTGAACCATTGAAACACCAGTTCCCAGAGATATTTCGTATGCATAGACATCACATGTATAAACTTGATCTAAATCAGGCATAGGCAAACTTCGGCCCTCCAGATGTTTTGGGACTGCAATTCCCATCATCCCTAGCTAACAGGACCAGTGGGCAGGGATGATGGGAATTGTAGTCCCAAACATCTGGAGGGCTGGAGTTTGACTATGCCTGATCTAAACCAACACGACGGACTCCTAGGGACCTCACAACATAGGCGAGAGGGAGAAGGAAAGAGACACAAGTTGTGCTGCAAGATATCATAGAATCATAGAATCATAGAGTTGGAAGAGACCACAAGGGCCATCGAGTCCAACCCCCTGCCAAGCAGGAAACACCATCAGAGCACTTCTGACATATGGTTGTCAAGCCTCTGCTTAAAGACCTCCAAAGAAGGAGACTCCACCACACTCCTTGGCAGCAAATTCCACTGTCGAACAGCTCTTACTGTCAGGAAGTTCTTCCTAATGTTTAGGTGGAATCTTCTTTCTTGTAGTTTGGATCCATTGCTCCGTGTCCGCTTCTCTGGAGCAGCAGAAAACAGCCTTTCTCCCTCCTCTATGTGACATCCTTTTATATATTTGAACATGGCTATCATATCACCCCTTGACCTCCTCTTCTCCAGGCTAAACATGCCCAGCTCCCTTAGCCGTTCCTCATAAGGCATCGTTTCCAGGCCTTTGACCATTTTGGTTGCCCTCCTCTGGACACGTTCCAGTTTGTCAGTGTCCTTCTTGAACTGTGGTGCCCAGAACTGGACACAGTACTCCAGGTGAGGTCTGACCAGAGCAGAATACAGTGGCACTATTACTTCCCTTGATCTAGATGCTATACTCCTATTGATGAGGC